TTTTTTTTGTCTCTAATGAAAATATATTTGACATACAACACTGTGTAAATTTAACATGTGCTGATTTGATGCAATTATATATTGTGATCTGATTGCTATTGGAACCATAATTAGCACCTCTGTCACACCACGTAATTATCATTTCTTCTCAGCGGTTGGCAAAATGAAGATCCCGTCTCTTGGCAAGTTTGATGATTATAATACAATATAGTTGTCTGTATCCCAGGAAACTGTTGACGTTATTCGTCCCCTCTTTTGTTTTCACATGGGGAAACTGAGGATCAGAGACAGGGTACGACCCACTCAGATCTCTGGAGGTTTCCTGTTCAGCTAACGCTGGCTCCTTCTTCAGCTCTCAGCACAAATATCTCTCCCAAGGGTTTCGCATGAACACCGCCCAACCCCCCACCTCTGCTCAGCATTAGGTTCTCTGTCAAACCTTATCACAGAACCCTGTATTTATACGTCTAAGAACGAACCGTAGTGGAATCAGGGATTCCTGGATTTTTGCATAAGTGGATGTCTGGATGCATTTTTTGTGTATGTACATATGTCTTTTTCCTACTGGGCATAGCTCCCCCTGGGCTGGGGTCCCTACCGTAGCCCCCACACCTGGCGTTGGGCTGGGCCAGCAAAACTCCTGATGCGTTCATGTTGACCAAGGAAGGAGTCCAGCTTCCTGACTTACGCCTCATGCATTTACTTTCAATCTGCCCCAGCAAAGAGGCCAGCTCAATTCCTGTCCCCGGAAAGAAGCAAATTATGGTATTACAGACCTGATGACTCTCCTCCCATCGCAACCTCTGGAGAAGCACACAGTCTGTTTCTGAGATGAGCCAGAAATCTGCCCCCAATCATATTGATAGATTTCTTTTTGCATTTGTCACCCTGGGATGGAGTGCTGCGATCGGCTTCGTATCAATGCAGAATAGCAAGCGACCGCCATCCCACTGTGGGATTGAAATAATGACACACAACCTGCCTACGGTGGATTGAGTTCTTCGTG